GGCCCCACCAATGCTCACTGCCACGAGTCCAGTGCACGCCCACTTCTCTTCCGGAATCACCCTGGACGACACCAGCAGCACAGGCAGGACCATACGGGGGCTCCAGCTCTCCAGCTGACAGTCTCAAGAGGAAGGAATGAGGAGACTCACAACGTGTTGTCTCCTGGGAAACAGAAGCCTCAGGGAAAGTGTCCTGGTGCAGGGGCTCTGCAGCTGACTCAGGGTGGGAAATGGCCTGGGGAAAGGCCGGAGGCAGGGGCTGCTGGTCCAGAGGAGAAAAGGAAAACCAGCTGGCACCAAGCCTCCATTCACCTGTCCCATCAGGACTTTTCAAACCTGGGCCTTTGTCTTGAGGCAGCTACAAAGGAAGAGAGGGGCGGGAGCCTGTCTCCATCCTGAGAGACAGAGTGGGAAAACCGAAGGAAAGAGAGAAGCAGCAGTGTCACAGGAGTGAGGCAAAAGCAGCCCCGCCTCCTCCACAGCAGCTACGGGAAGGGAAGGGCACTGGGATGAGACAGACAGATGGAGAAAAAAGGTGTTGTGTTTTCCTTTATGTTATATAGGAACACCAAATTAAAACCCTAGGTATTAGAGAAGACATTATATTGACTTATATAACCTTCCAGATAAAATATTCTAATTTTAGGCCCTGGCTGGTGTAGCTCAGTGGATTGAGCGCAGGCCTGCGAACCAGACAATCGTGGTTTGATTCCCAGTCAGGGCACATGCCTGGGTTGCAGGCCAGTTCCCAGCAGGGGACACACGAGAGGCAACCATACATTGATGTTTCTCTCCTTCCCTTCCTCTCTAAAGATAAATAAGTAAAATCTTTTAAAAAATATTCTCATTTTGATGAACGTGACTTTTTGATAGTGATTTTCCCCCATGACAGGCAGGGATCCAAGTGATTCTTGACCGAGACACCTGACCACTATGCTCATTCCTCTTATTTATGGAGTGCGCTACATGACAGTCTGTGTGAACAAGAGAAAAACAAAACCAAATCAGGGAAGGACTTGGCTTTCACTGGCCTTGGCGGCACACAGAGCAGGACATATACCTCCTATAGTAGAGAGAAACTTTTCTTACTTTTCAAGCTAATGTGGTCTTTTAGATGTGGTCTTTTAAGTTCTTCTTTTTTAGAGATTTTATTTATTTATGTTTTAGAGGGGAAGGGAAGGAGAGAGGGAAAGAAATATCAATGTATGGTTGCCTCTCATGTGTCCCCCGCTGGGAACTGGCCTGCAACCCAGGCATGTGCCCTGACTGGGAATTGAACCGTGGTTGTTTGGTTTGCAGGCCTGCGCTCAATCCCCTGAGCCACACCAGCCAGGGCGGGTCTTTTAAATTCTTCAAGGGAGCAATATTCCTTCAAGCCTGGGGCTTCATTCTCCTCCACAAATATCAGTTCTGAAGGTGATGTGCCCAGGGTTCCCCATCCCACTGTCATGTTTTTGCAACAGATATTTCACAGTGATATCACATTTGTTCTCATTTTGTTTATGATTCAAATTAAAACTGACCAAACATATTACTAAATCACTTATTTTCACTTTTCCAAAGCTGGATTGTGTTGAAAAGCCACACATTCACTACACATTCATTTCTATATGGTCTTCGCAATTTTTTTTTTACCACATTTATTTACATGCTCCAGTGTCAGTCCAGTTATCCATGTTTCAGCCAATAACCATCCTATACTGGAATGGAAGGTAAACATTATTCACATATTTTTCTCTTTAATCCTTAACTCTTAAGTCTTTGGCAAAACACATCCTTTGCCAGTCAATGCCCTTCAGTCTGAAATACAGCAAATGTTGGCTCCCATCTCTTTGCATAAAGGTAAAAACAGGCTGGGACTGGTCCTGACTGGGTAGCTCAGTTGGTTAGAGCATCATCCCAACATACCAAGGTTGCAGGTTCCCTCTGAGTAGGGCACATACAATAATCAACCAATTAATGAATAAATGAGTGGAACAACAAACTGATGTTTTTCTCTCTCCTTTCCTCTCTTAAAAAATATAAAACAAAACAGAGAAACAGATTGGGATGGCTTGCACTACGTGAGCTTCACCCTGTTGCTGACAGTCTTGCCAGACTGCAGTCTTCCTCTAGTCAGGGCGCTTCTGACAAGGCAGCTTCTCACTGGTGAACTAACTGAACAGCCAATAATGCACCTGTGGATTCAACAACCTGAAGTAGGAGGTTTGGTTGGTTGGTATGTCTGTCATGTCATGGATCAGTGTGTCCACTGACTTGCTTCCTCGGTCTCAAGTGCAGTGCTGACAAATTCTACATGATTGGGAGCATGTCTGCAAGTGTGTGGATGCATTTCATTGTTAGCAACAAGTCACATGATGCTGTACCTAACTTGAGTACAATCTGACATTAATTTAACAAAGATCATACACTTTTTACACCAGATTTTTTTAAAAGATTTATTTTTAGAAGGGAAGGGAGAAAGAGAGGGAGAGAAACATCAATGTGAGAGAGAAAAAGCAATTGGCTGCCTCTTGTATGTGCCACAATCCGGAAACAAACCAGCAACCCATACATGTGCCCTGACCAGGAATCAAATTGCAACCTTTCCCCTTGTAGGACAATGACCAACTGAGCCACACCAGTCATGGCTACACCAGATAATTTTTTTAAAATCCCCACATTTTTCCGCCTATTTAGCGCTGTCAGGGAAAGCACCATGAGGTATGCTTCATACCCTCGCTCCATTTGGTAAATTCTCTGTGCAAACAAGACATCAAGACATTTAGGAAGAGATGAAAACAGTCAAGATCTATGGATACGTGCTTGAGACAGTTTAGTGACATTTTTTTAAAAGATTTCAGTTATCTATTTTTAGAGAGAGGAAGGGAAGGAGAAAGAGAGGAAGAGAAACATCAGTGTATGGTTGCCTCTCATGCGCCCCCTACTGGGGACCTGGCCTGCAACCCAGGCATATGCCCTGACTGGGAATCGAACCAGAAGCCCTTTGATTCACAGGCTGGTGCTCAATCCACTGAGCCACACCAGCCAGGGCTAAAGGCATTTTTTAATAAAACCAGTGTTAAGCCTTATGCATTTGATTACATTCTGGGCTTATAAAAATGTGGGTAAGTAGTTATCTATAAAATTTTTTAAAAATAAATTTTTAAAAAGATTTCATTTATTTACCTTTAGAGAGGAAGGGAAGGAGAGAGGGAGAGAAATATCAATGTATGGTTGCCTCTTGTGTGTCCCCTGCCGGGAACTGGCCTGCAACCCAGGCATGTGCCCTGACTGGGAATCAAACCGCGATACTCTGGTTTGTAGGCCCGCACTCAATCCACTGAGTTACACCAGCCAGGGCAGATATCTATAAAAATTAAATCTATTCCTGGAACAGAAAAAAGACTGCAGAAAAACTCAGGACAGAAAAGGTTATAGGTTTGTTTGTTTTTTAATATTTTATTTATTTTTAGAGAAAGGTTAAAGGAGGGGGAGAGAGGGGGAGAGAAACATGGATGTGGGAGAGAAACATCAATCGGCTGGTGCTGGATCCACTGAGCCACGCCAGCCAGGGCAAAAAGGATATAGTTTAAGTTAATAGGATTATATCAATGTTAATTCCTTTGTTTTGATAAACATATGATATTAACACTAGAAGAAGCTGGGGAAAGAATAAATGGAACTCTGTACCATCTTGCAACTCCTCTGTAAATCTAAAATTATTTCAAAGTAAAAAGTTAAAACTGAATCTATTGCCCTAGCCAGTGTGGCCTGGTTGGTCAGTTGGAGCGCTGTCCTGTAAACGGAAAGGTCATGGGTTTGAATCCCCATCAGGAGGCATATGAGAAGGCAACCAGTTGATGTTTCTCTCTCACTGGTGATGTTTCTCTTTGTAGAACAACACCCAACCAACTGAGTTACACCAGTCAGAGCTGAAAAACAAATTTTAATTCAATAATTAAAACTGAAAAATAAAATGGCTTATTCTAACATTAAAAATTATTTTTGAAAAACTGATTTTCTGAAGCCCTAAAGGCATATAGTCCATTTAATGAATCATTGAATGAAGTGGTTTAAACTAATTGAGTCTTTGTTTTTAAAATAAACTTTTAAACATTTCTAGAAAAGTAATAATTCATTATGCAAATGCATAAAACTGGCTAATTTTTTTACAGAAAAAGTATTTATTTTCCTTTTTGTTGCCCTTTCTTTTTATTGTTGTTAAGTACAACTGTCTTCATTTTCTCCCCACCACTCCCACCACCCCAGACACACCCACCTCCCACTGCTGATTCTACCCTCCTTTGGCTTTGTCCATATGTCCTTCACACATGTTCCCTGACAATCCTTTCCTCTCCCCCACCCCAGTATCCCCTCCCACTTCCCAACTTTGGCTAATTTTTATCAAAAGCTAATAATAAATAACCAAGATGAAGTAATAGAGATTAACAAATTATGTGTTGTTTGGGAAAATGTAGTATCATATAAGGACAATAATAAGAAAAATAAAGATAATAATCACACATGCCTTTTAGTTTAGCAAAAAAAAAATTAGAAGATAAGAAATTCGGGGTGGGATGGAAGAGAGTACAAGGGAGATAAATGGTAATGGAAAAATATACAATAAAAAATAAACTAATTATAAAAAAGAAATTCAAAGAAACTGTTTTTGCATTGCACACACAAAGATCTCATGATACAGAAATCATGACTAAGCAGCAATTCCTCTCCCTGGGCTGGATCTCTGAGAATGCTCAACAGGGGCCTTGGAGCAGCCACAGAGAATCCTCTGGATTTTCCAGAAAAAGAATACAGTTTAGGAAGTTTGTAGAGAGAGCCATGCAAATAGTACTGAAATATATACCTTTAGCTGCTTCTGAAAGGCTATGTTTTTAAAAGACCTTCAACAGTCCAGCGATAAAACACTGACAAGCCTCCTGCATCCCACTTGGTGACAAGCCTGGAATGGAGGAGCTCCTGCAGGCCCCTCTGCGTGAAGAGACCAAACTTGGACTACGTAATAAGACCATGTTTAATGAACACCAAAATACAGGTGAGATCTGCAGGGGCTCAGAGTAAAGGGGAGTGGCGATGGCTGTAATGATCTTGGGTGGTGGGTAAACAATGCTATTTGGTGGGTGAACACCGCCGCCCACCACCTTTTTCCTTCACAGCCTTTCAACAGTCCTGGGGGACAGCAGAGGGGGATGACTGGCCCCATTTTACAGTTGGGGAAACTGAGTTCCAGATAGGTTCACCAGCTTGCCCAAAGCCGCGCAAGTTTCCTGGTCCTTTCTTCAGCCCCGCTGCAGTCTGGTTCAGAGGAGATTTGAGTAGGTGGATGTAAAGAGGACGAATACTCCATAGGAAGAGCAAGCCGGGTGTGCAGCTGGGTAGGGTGTGGTATGCAAGGACACTGAGGGGGCTGGCTGAAGGGCAGTAACCCTTGGTCAGACTGCCGCAGCACAGCCACTTGGGTGCCTGCTTTTCCTCTCTTCCCTCCTGGGTGCCCAGGCCTTCAGGACCAGCTGAGGGAGGTCATAGGGTAGGAGGGCTTTTCCCGCCTAATCTTTACTTGGCACCTACTATGCATGAGTCCACTGCAAAGTTAGGGAGGACAGGGCAGAAGGGAAGAGGTGGCAGCACAAAAAAACCATGCTAAGCAGCTGACTACAGTGCTGTGAGAGGGATGCAAAGGGGCTTGTGTGAAAGTGCCATGTGGGCAGGGACCTAGGGAGAGTGCAGACCTAGTACGTGAACTTGTGAGCCCCAATGAAGCAGAGGTGGGTAGGACTAGATAAGACAAACACAACACGCTGAAGAGTCTGGATGTGATCCAGGGAACCAGGACATCGCAGTGACATGAAGGAGAAATGGGGCCACCACAAAGACTGTAGGAGAGCTAAGGAGGCGCTGGCTGGAGAGGAGGAGGTTTGGAGAAGGCTCTGTAGGCCCAGGCTTCTCCAGGCAGGCCCCTGGAAATGGAGCCGGCTGGTTTGAGGTCAGAGGGCCCTCCCCTGGCCATGCTGGGAGGCCTCTCCAGGTGTAAATACACAACGAGGCCCAGCAGAAGCTTCAGGCTGTGCAGAAACACAAGGACATATGATGTCCCCTCTAGCCCTTCATCCCACTGGCCCTTGGCCCTCCCTTGGGAGGAGCCCATAGTTCAGCATAGGTCCCGCTTTTCCCAAACTCTTTCACCTTGTAGTTAACTGTACTAGAGGCAGCCCCTGGAGGCCAGCATGGGTTAGAGTCCTCAGGCAGACGCTCCTGCCAAGAAATAGTCCCCAGGGCACCTGTCTCTTCTCAGCACAAAAAATGCAACTGGGGAGCTAGAGCAGCCAGCCAGGCAGGAGGCTGCAGGGGCCTGCACAGAAGCCAGCAGGGGGTGCTATACACCCACATTTGGCGGGGTTCCTGCTGGCGTTCCAGTTGTCTCCACTACCAAGGAATTTGCAGGGGCTGTAAGAGTAGTCCCTCCCAAGCCTCGGGCACAGCATGGGCCAGAGAGAGCCAGGGCATGAGTCCAAGGTGGAGGCAGTGGCAAGTCTAAGCGGCCCTACCAGGGTCCAGAGGAATAGGCTTGGCCAGCTGAGGCCCTGGCACCCTGCCCAGCCCACCATCAGAGCCCCTGCTGTACCCCAACACTGCCCATGCATGTGGTGAGATCTTCACTCACTGACTCCTCCCTGAAGAGAGGGCCCGGCCACCGCCCCACCACCCCATCCCACAGCAGCAGCTCAGTCCCCATCAGCACAGGCCTGTCACTGGGTGTCAGGGTCCTGGAAGCCCCAGGCCTCCACAGCAGCGATGAGGAAGTTCTCACAGCAGAGGGGCTGGTTGTTGAAAGTGTCGCAGTGGCCCGTGCGGCCCCGGTTCAGGTCCCCGTCGATATAGAGAGCCTGGCCGCCCCCTCCACCTGGAGGATGCTGAGTCAGTAGCTGCCCATTTGGCACTGCCCAGGAGGTGCTCTCCTCCTGCTCCCAAGCATCTCCACTTGTCCCGGCCCCAGCCCTGCCACAGGCCTAAAACCACAAGGCTGACCTTCAACTCTCCAAAGCCCATCAGCCCTCAACTGGGGTCTAAACTCTAGGCTAGAACCCCCTTCCCAGCTAGCTTATCCAGAACACCTGTCCCCACTCCCACTCCTCATGCCTGCTCTCTTCCTCTGCCATTATGGGGGCTGTCTGTACTTCAAGTAAGACTCCTGCCATCTGGGTCAGCAATGGCTGACCCAGGGGCTTTGGCCACCCACTACCCTGTACCCTTCTCCCAGGCTAAGTGACACCAGCCTGAGATGGAGATGCCCACCTATGATGAGGCAGTCATTGCCCCCAGCCATGAACATGGACTCAGTCTTGGAGGGCAGGTTGAAGTGCCGAGTGGCCAGGAACGGTGAGAGGCGGTCAGCAGGGTTTGAGGATGAGGACAAGGATGACTGGGAGGGGTGGGACGAAGTGGCAGTGGCCTCCAAGGACACTGGCTTAGTCAGCTCTGGGTGTTTGATGACCACCCATTCATAGCGCTGGACTTCTGGCTGCAACTGAGGGTGAAAAGACAGTATGAGGAGCTGGCACACTGGGCCCTACAGGGCCCTTCTGGTCACTTTCCTCCCACAAAACTTCATTGAAGCCCTTTATGTACGAGGCCTCATGCCACGGCTGGGGAGACAGAGCCATACAGGGCAAGTACGAGGAATGAGAGCCTGCCTGCTCTCATGGAGCTATTGGTCTAATGATCACAAACCAGAAGAAAATGGGGAGGTTATCCTGTAGGGTAACTGCTATAACAGAGGAAAACAGGGTCATGTAAGTGGGGCTGATGAGGGTGCTGGGCCTGTTGGCCTTAGAGCACGTGCAGGGAGACCCACTTACCCTAAACACAAAGCATTCTCCGGTCCCAAAGAAGCCCAGTTTGCCTCCAAACTTATTTCTCTCACTCCAGTCTGTTGACAGGTAAGCTCCACACACCTGAGGAGAAAGACCAAGGTGATGCTGCACCCTGCTGGCCTGCAGGAGCATCCCCTTTCTCAGGCCCCGCTGAGGGGCCATTGTACCATCACAGCTTGGGTGGAGTGGTATTGTCACAGCATCCTCCGCCCCGACTGAAGGGTAAGGGCCGAAGGTAAAGAGAGGTGTGGGAGTCCGAGTTTGGAAGGCATGGGATTGGCGGTGAGAGCTGGGGGCAGGTAGCTGCCATTGGCTTGTTTGGGGTATTTCCATTTGGGCCCTCAAGCATGGTAACAAGCCCCATGTCCACACTCCAATTTCGGGCATCAGCACCTGGGAGGCCCCTCAGATGAAAGCTTCTAGGAGGTATGCCTGTTCGACAACATTCTCCAACCCTGTCAGCCAACAAAGTGCTTGATTTCACCATTAGAGTCATGTCCCTCCAGTGGCTGCAGGGTTCTTCCAAAGTGTCTGTCAGAGTCAACTTCTATGATATAGATGTCCAGGCTCTTTCTGGAAACCCAGATGCAGAGTGTGGAACGGGGTGAGGAACCTAAAACTCCCATGGGTACAGGTCTGGGAGCCACTGAACAAGCCTTTACTGTAGGCAGACACCCCCAGGATGAGGGCACATGAGCTGTGACCTCCCTAGTCTCGGGGGACTTTCCAGGAGACAGGTACTGTGGAGGAAATGGCCCTAAGAACTACCTGTTAGGGGGTGGAGGCAGGTAACAACAGCCAACTCACCTGGTACTGGCCCACTGTGTTGCGGGGAGGCAGGGCCTTGCTACTAGGCATTTCTGCAATGCTCCTTCCAAGTAGCAAGGCTGTTTCAGCAGGGCCTGGATCCTCAGGGGAAACGAGGAGGCCCTGGGTACTTGCGGGTCAGATAGGGAAGCTGGATTCACTTTTTGTGGAGGGTGGCTCTGCTCTGTACCCCTAAGTACAGGAAGGCTGGGTGGAGGCTGCAGAAGTACCCACCCTTCCTGGGGCACAAAAGCAGCAGACTCCCCAGAACTCAGAGACCAGGACCCCAGGTTCCCTCTGATTCCTGCTCACCTCCTTTTGTGTGGTCTTAATGAGCAGGAGGGTGGGCTCGTGTCCTTCGCACTGGAAATACAACCTGGGAAGAGACCACACATGCCAGTCCTGATGGGAAGCAGTTATCTTGTACCCTTTTCCTGTACCACCTCTGGCCAGCTTCTACTGACTGGTGCCCCCAGTGTCAGAGAAACCTGGACTGTCTAGGGGTGAATGGGCCTGGAAATGGCATTTCCTTATCTTCTGGGGACCAGGCATAGTGGCCAAGGACCTGGCAACAATCTGGCCTAGGCACTCTTCCAAGCCAAGGTAGGGCTTCCATCAGGTGGCCTGCAGGCTGAGCACTCTGGTAGGGGGAAAGGCAGCATGACAAATGGCCCCCAGCAGACAGAACTGCGTGCCAGGTGCTCCGCCGGAGCAAGAACAAGAACACATCCCTGCTCTAGAAGAGCTCAGAGTCCAAGCACATGGCAGTCAGCTGGCACTGGGAAGCATGTAAGGAGGCCTGAGGTTGCCACTGTGGTAGCTCCAGGTGCCCAGGGCTTGGCTGACAGCCCTGGCAGCTCCCTTTAACTGTCCCCCAATGAGCCTCCCATGCCACAGAGGTTGGGGTTGGGTGGATGCAGCTCCAGCTGTGCCATAATATTTGTGGGGCTATAGACAGTGCCCACCACATGGACTGGGCCATCTCTGCCTGTGGGCAGAGACAACTCTGACCTGTCTCTGTCAGGTCACCTGTGACCCAAGCCAGAGCTTCTGAGGCCACCTGCACTCTGAGGCTCAAGTGAGGGCTAACCTGACAGAGCTGCCAGTGAGGCAGTGTGCCCTGGGGAGGCCGGCACAGCCCCAACCCCACAGGGCCAACCTGTTCCTGGCTTGTGGACTGACGGAGTGGGGGTGGGGAGTTCTGAAACACAGCCTGTTTCCTTGAGTTGTCCTCTCTTACAGTTCTCTAAGCGAAGCCTCCCATGTCATCACAACGCCTACACAGGGACCTGGAACCGTGGCGTGCACGGCAATGACCCTTGAACTGAACTGGCCTAGGAGTGAGAGAAGCCCAGAAAAGTGCCTCCCAATTCTAGCCCCCCAGAAAGAGGCAGGGCCTCACCCTGTGTGATCTCCTGGAAGCACAGGCAGAAAAAGAAGCTGGGAAACTTCACTGCTCCCTCTGTCCTTCCTGGACTAACTGGCCCTCGGAGTCCCTGCCTCAGGGCCTCTGAGGGCAGGTCCAGCCTCCAGCCTCCTGGGCATTACCTGCTCAGGCTGTACCCATGCTGCAGTGAGGAGAAGAGCAGGAGGGGCTGACAGAGGGCGAACCGCTCAGGGATCCACGACCAGATGTCTCTCATCTCCTTCACACTGACAATCTCTGAGTGGAAGTTTTCCGCATGTACAGCCAGGTGCACAAACTGCCTGGGGAGAGTTTTGAGAGGTTCAGAGCACAGCTGTGACCCCAGTCCTGACGACAATCCCCCACCCCAGGGGTGTGCATTGGCTCTCTTGGAAGCTAAGCCTGGAGTAAACTTCTCACCTATTCAACCAGGTTAAAGCCTGGTCCTAGGTACTCTTGGGAAAAAAATGTGGCGGAGATGTCCCTTGGAGCCCCACTCCCATTTCATTACTAAGAGGGGAGAGCACCCAGCCCAGGTGGGGACAAAAGCACCTTTTCTCTAAGAAATGGGGACAGAAAGTGAGTCAGCTCTGGCAAGATAAGGGCCAGCCAAGCACCAGCAGAGAGCACAATTGAGGCAACTGAGCAGACAGAAGGACAAACAGATGGCACCTGAACAGCTGCCAGGCCCTGAGAGCCAGCACAAGCAGGCCCCCAGGACAGCCAGGCCAGAAGACAGAGAGAATCCAGGCATGGAGATATGGTTTCCAGACCTACCTTTTAGAAAGTGAAACACTGAAAAACAGAAGGAGGCAACGGACGTGGAGAAGAAGAAAAATAAACACAGACAAGGAGAGGTTAGTGGTAAGTACTGATATCCAGGACATGCCCGCATTTGGCCTGGAAGAAAGGCCTCCCACCTACAGTCATATCATCTACCACCAGGACAGTCTCAGGACACCATGAGCCCTTCTCATTTCTGTTCCCCAGGGGGCTGTGCTCAGCAGAAAGGGAGCCCAGAGCTGGAGGGATGGAAAAGGGACTGCTGTAAAATGACCAGAGGCCCTGGCTCAGCCCACTGCCTGATCGTCTGACCTCGTGGTCCACACCTAGCTTTCATTTCTGCCATGGGCCTCAGGCCTGAGGACTGTAGCAGGCACCTTCCATTCCCACAGTTGCCTTAGCAGCCTATGGCTATAACCAGGAAGGCCCTTTCTCCCTTCCCGTGGTTTTCTATCCATGCACGGATGGCTGGCTGGCAGCAGGCAGAATAAAAGTCCTCTGGGCAAGATAAGCTTATACCAAAGATCTTGGGAAGTATTCCATCAAAACCCCACCCTAAGCAGGCCCCTGGCCACCTGCCCAGAGGCCTGCCTACCTCTTCTGCTTGACAGTGATGCCCTTCTGCTTTAGAGCTTTCTCATTGGCCATCTGCAGGAGCTGAATCTCCTTCCGAGAGAAGAGGCGGATGGCAAATGCTTTCTCCAGCAGCTTTTCTGGGGACACTGTCTTGGCAATGTCCTTGACGAAGGTACGGATGTCTTGCTTCACATTATCTGACTCGAGCGGCTGCCCAGCTCTCACCTTGTGAAAGAACTTCAGGATTGCCAGTGCAACGCGGTACAACACCTTGTAACCTTCCACCAGGAAGACATCAAAGACACGAGCAAAGTAGTTAAGGGGCAGTTCCCCAAATAGCCAGCGCTGCCAGTCTGCGTAGACCTGCAGGACATCCTCTGACACAGCTACCATCAGCTTGTGAGCTGCCTGGCAGTACTTGTTCACCAGGTCTCCAAATGTCATGCAGGAAGACTCGAAGGCCAGAAAGCTCTGGTCAATCAGCTTCTTGCTGGGGTCATTGCAGGCCAAGATGCGGCAGGCCTTTTCAAAGCACTCAGCCTCATCAATGCTGTAGTGCAGCAGCAGGGCTACGACTGCAGGCAGGGCAGGGCAGAAGGAGATGTCAGGGAACTGGTTGGCAATGCACAGCAGAATCTTCCGAACAGCACCCTCACCCCGTGTGTTTAGGCAGTAGCTGGGCACCTGTGTGTTGTCCACAAACTCAGGCAAGGGCAGGCTGCTGCTGCTGTGCTTACCCACGATCTTGCCCACAATGTCACTGTACACACTGGCATCGGGCGTGACGGTACGGCAAGGAATGTCCCGGATCAGGCGCTGGTACACCTTCCCACGCAGAGTGTGGCTTTGGGCCCAATAACCTTGGCGTGCCAGCTGCTTCAGCTCTTGCAGCTCTGTGCAGCTCAGTTCCTTGGGTCCCAGGTCCTGGATGGCAGTGTTCATTTTGTCTCTGTCCACAAAGCAGTTGTACCCCTGGGAGTCCATATTGCAGGGCGTATCTGGGAGAAGGGCCCTGGGATGCCAGGACGGGGCAAATAGCAGCTAAATGCTCCAGCCCCCTCTCAGACACTTTTCTGCTAACCTGTTTGCCATGCCATACCCTATAGGATTAAAAACCATACTTAGTATGCAAGTATAAAGGTTCACATTTTAAAGGACATGTTTTTGTTTCACTCTACAGTATTACAAGGGCTTCCATTTAAGATAAGCAGATATTGTGAGAATTCACTATGAAGTGTAGCACATCTTTTCATGGGGCTTATAAAGTTACTATAACAGGTCACACAGATTATAAAATATCGAGAGGCTAGAAACGAGTCCCCAGGAGGGCTTTGAGAGTGAGCCTGACCCGGCTGAAAACAGCTCCCGGCTAGGTGGCGGAAGACCAATCAGACTCCCACACGCCCTCAAGCCCATGGACCTTCTGAAAAGTGATTGATTAAGAGGACTGATTTAAGTCAAGAGATGCTTTGCTTCAGTTCGTGAAGGCTTCAGGCCTTTAAGCATCTGTGTGTCATGAGGAAAACACACACCTACTCTGCCCCACTGTCCCCAGGTTAGAATTCAGAGGCTAGCTCTTTCTAAAAATGCCAGGTAGGTGTCAGGCAGGTACTGCAGAGGAGAAGTACTGGTGGGGAATAGACATGAAGGCTGAGAAATGAATGAAGCTGTCACAGCTCCAGAATTAGATATTTTTACATCCAAATGAACCATAAGTATTGGGGGATTTGGTGCTGTCTCTCCATTTAGGGCAACTATTGAAATTCGGAGAGACATTAAAAAATGGGTAAAATGTGCTATATGGACTCTCTGGCTGATAGGTAGACAGTGAGACAGAAGTCTACTGCTGAGGATACCATAATCTAACATTTGTTTTTGCTACAGGCTACTGTCCTCAGCTTTCACAATGGTCCGCCCATGTGCCTCGGACTAACCTTTCTGCCTACAATGGTTAAGTGTCTGCAGATGTCACAAGGGTTTGCTTCAGTGGGTTTTGGTAAACAGCCAGATCATTCCGGTTTCTCTTGAATCTAGAACATTCATCTGTAAATATAAAAAACAAATAATAACTTAAGAATAATGAGTATAAAGAATTATAGTATAAAACCTGTATTATGAGATGTCTTAAGAAAGCACTTTGATATGATTTTTAACAGTAAAATATACATAACAAATTTACCATTTTAACCATTTGCAAGTGTGCAGTTCGGTTTGCAAGTGTGCATTAAGTACATTCACACTGTTTGTGTAACATCACCCCCATCCATCTTTACAACTTTTTCGTCTTCCCAAATTGACACTCTGTACCCATTAAACACTAACTCCTTGACCCTCCTCCCCTGCAACCACCATTCTACTTTTTCGTGTCTAAGAATTTGACTACTCTGCCCTGGCTGGTGTAGCTCAGTGGATTGCACGTGGGCCTGTGAACCAAAAGGTTGCTGGTTCAATTCCCAGTCAGGGCACATGTCTGGGTTTCGGGCCAGGTCCCCAGTTGGGGACACATGAAAGGCAACTATACACTGATGCTTCTCTCCCTGTCTTCCTCCTTCCCTTCCCCTCTCTCTAAATAAGTAAATAAAAAATCTTAAAAAAAAAAGAATTTGACTACTCTAAGTGCTTGATATTAGTGGGATCATACAATATTTGTCCTTTTGTGTCTGGTTTATTTCACTGATCAAAATATCCTCAAGATTCATCTATACTTACAGCATGCACCAAATAAAATTTTTTTATTTAACAACGTTATTTTTTAGAGTAGATTTAGGTTCACAGAAAAACTGAGAGGAAGGTACAGAGATTTCCCATATACCCCCTGCCCCCACATATGCACAGCCTCCTCTGCTATTAACACGCCTTGCCATGAGTAGTGCATTTGTTATAATTGATGAACCTACCGTGACACAACACAATCACCTAAAATTTACAGATTAATGAAGGTTTGCTCCTGGTGTTATACATTCTATGTTTTGGACAAATGTAAAATGACATGCATTCTCATTAGAATATCATATGGACTATTTTCCCTAAAGATCCTCTGTGCTCTACCTATTCACCCTGGACCCCCATTTATCAGAATTTCATCCCTTTTTATGGCTAAATAACATTCCATTATATGAATAGAGCACAATTTGTCTATCCATTCACCTGCTGATGGACATTTGGGTTGTTTCCACATTTTGGCAAAGTAAACAATGCTGCTGTGAACGTGGGTGTACAAATATCTGCTCAAGTCCCTGCTCCACTTTCTTTGCATATACAGTATATCCATTGACACTGCTTTCATCAGGGCTTCCCCATAGAAAACGTTAATTAAAATAAGGTTTTCTGAAAACATCCACTTAATATAGCCCACTGGAAAAAGCCCTGCCCACAGTAGAACTAGGCCTGCTGCCAGTGTGAAACCTTCTTCCTCAGAAGAAAAGAAACCCTAGTTGGGGTTGACTTTTTGCTATGTTCTGGAGGGGAAAGCAGTGAGGATTCCCTTCTTCTCCAGGTTATAAAGACCAGGCCAACAGGCCCACTCAGGCCCTCATGGCCATGCCCAGGTTGCACTCTACAATTTCCATGTGTAAATTACCTATAGCTTTTAAATCTTCATTCTAGGCTCTGGGCCCACTAACCTCTGGAGAGACCCCAAGCCCATCCTGTTTGTGTGGAAAGGAACTAGCTCTTTCTCAGAGCGATAAACATGTTTATAAACAGAACAAGAGCAGGGCACGCCAGCCCCAACCCTCACTCAACTGGCTTCAGATTCGGGTTGAATATTAAACTGGAAACTCCAAAAGTGATTATCACACCTCGCAAAGTTCCTTCAGAGAGGACGCATGGTTTTGTTTGTTGCAGCAAGTTGCCCAGGGACACAAAGATTCAGAGGGACTCTGAGGCAAGAACACATGCAGGAGACCCTAAAGGAGGCCCCTAGATCCCCACAGGCCTCCTCCCCAAGCCTGCATCAAGAAGAGAGTATGGTGTTGCTGGGCTGGGAAAAAAGGCTTACAGTGACCTTTCTCAGGCATCCATAAAACCAGTTCCAGGGTGGTTTCCTTAGGTTTCTTTTTACATAAATGCATAATCACAAAAAAGTTACAGAGTAAAAATATAAAGTCCTATATACATTACCCCTTCAATCCTATTCCCTCTTCCACCTAAGATAATCAACCATTGCTCACATGTTAGCACAAAACCTTTCCTTATGTTTACACATACATTCACAGCTGAATTAGATTGTTAAGGCTGGCTACTGGGAAGGGGAAGTCAGGAGACAAGGAACAGATCAAAAACATTAAATTATCTAGTTGGATGCTCACACCCTAGAGGTCTGTTTTAGAGTTGAAGTGATGCTCTCACCCTGTTGTTACTCCACCTGCAGCATGCGGCCACGGTGCAGCCATCATGAAGCCATCGCACAATACCTGTTCCCCGCAGTCCCCCAGCTCCTGACAAGGCCGAGGGAGAGAAGGGAGGCAGGAGTAAATGTGGAAAATGATTTGGTTTCAAGTCAGATAGTCCTGGCTTCAAAGTTCAGCTTCACCACTTATTTGCCTGAACCTCAAACAAGTCATGGCTCTTCCCCAAAAGGCAGGTGCCTGTCTGTAAAACCGAGCTGACAAACACAACCCACCTCACCTGAATTAGTCCCCATGTGACACTTGAAGGCTCAGCTCTTACTGGGACTCACTGGCTGGGGTGTGGGTGACATCTCCCTCACTCTCACTTCCACTCACCTTGCTCAGGCAGTCTAAGGCAGGCAGCCAGCAGGCCCCGCAGGCAGGTGCACTTTCCCTGGTACTCAGAGTGAGAGGGAGGGAGAGAATGGTTTCTCACCACAATGAATTCACTCATCTAGAGGCCACCCCTCTAGGTTTACTGCAGAGGAATGGGGGTGGGAGCAGGACTGGTTCTCTGAGCTAACGCCTTTGTATCAGCCCACCCCTGTGGGAGAGGGCTGGCCCCAGCTGCCTTCAGCTCCCTGAACTTGCAATGTAAGGGAAGTACAGCTGACCTTTGAATAACATGTACTGCACAGATCTACTTACACAAGTATTTTTTTCAATACTGTAAGTGTACTTTCTCTTATGATTTTCTTAATAATATTTTCTTTAACTCACTTTATTGTAAGATACAGTATATATATATATATATATCACGCAAAATAGTGTCAATTAACTATATTATTGGTAAGGCTTCAGTCAACAATAGGCTGCTAGTAAAGTTTTGGTGGAGTCAAAAGTTATATGTGGGTTTTCTTCTTTTTTTAATTGATTTTAGAGAGAGCTTACGTGATGAGGGGGAAGCAGCCAGAAGAGCTGAGGAACAGTCACACTGAACAACAAGAAGAGCAAGTGCAAAGGCCCTGAGGTAGGAACAGGCTTAGTGTGTTCTGGGAGGAGAAGGGCACCAGTGTGGCAGAGCATGATGAACAAGAGCAAGAGCAGCAGAGACACCCACAGAATGGACTGTGCACAGGGAGGGGCTTGGATTTTATCCTAAGCACAGCGGGAAGCAGTGAAGGGATACTCCAACAGATGTGTTTAAAAGCCAATTGTCAGGATTAACTGAGACTGTTTATAGAAAGCACTAGCCTGACATACCAGGACAGCTCACTCATCCTGAGGGCATCCCAATGTTACTGCTCCTTTGGGTCCCCTGGCCTGGCACTGGCTCTGAGATGTCTGGGAAGTGACAGGGTTTTGGTGGCTCAATGCTTGATCAGTCCCGCAGAGGTGCAGCACAGAAAGCTACCACTAAGGTTCTCCCACAGGCCCACAGGTCCCCTGCTCTCTCTCAGGGATGGTCCCTCCAAGTGGCCACTCTGACAGACCTTCCCCTTCCCTGCTGTGCTGCTGCTTCCCACCCAGAAAGTCCCTTCCAATCACCCTCACATACTTTTCCCTCACAATGATTGTGCTTGTTTTGAAAGTTCAGGCTACCTGATGGAAAGCAAATATTTCTTAAATAGAAAAATAAAAACTTTCATGGAAAT